AAAAGTACAAGGAGAACAAGACCGGGTGTTTCGGAAGAATAAGCTTCTTCTGCTTCATCGACGACACCGCGGAAAAAACTGATACGTGTTGGATTGGAGCTCGTATTTAAATTTCCAAAGACGTGAAAGGGAAAATATTGTTCGTGAGTAATTTATTCGTCACAAACACCAGCATCATTTAACAATTTCACGTTCGTAGTGATTTTACATTTTGTAATCCATTAATGAAATGATACAGAGAAGTATGCAGAGTGATTGATATCTAGATCTAAGTCCATGGTAGAATAGATCTAACATGACTTCTGGGGTAGGGGTGTAGAGACAGATGTCTAGATCTAAGTCCGTGGTAGAATAGATCTAACATGACTTCTGGGGTACGGGTAAGGCTGTAGAGACAGATATCTAGATCTAAGTCCGTGGTAGAATAGATCTAACATGACTTCTGGGGTAGAGGTAGGGGTGTAGAATGACAGTTATCTAGATCTAAGTCCGTGGTAGAATAGATCTAACATGACTTCTGGGGTAGAGGTAGGGGGATAGAGACAGATATCTAGATCTAAGTCCGTGGTAGAATAGATCTAACATGACTTCTGGGGTAGAGGTAGGGGGATAGAGACAGATATCTAGATCTAAGTCCGTGGTAGAATAGATCTAACATGACTTCTGGGGTAGAGGTAGGGGTGTAGAATGACAGTTATCTAGATCTAAGTCCATGGTAGAATAGATCTAACATGACTTCTGGGGTAGAGGTAGGGGGATAGAGACAGATATCTAGATCTAAGTCCGTGGTAGAATAGATCTAACATGACTTCTGGGGTAGAGGTAGGGGTGTAGAGACAGATATCTAGATCTAAGTCCGTGGTAGAATAGATCTAACATGACTTCTGGGGTAGGGGTAGAGGTGTAGAGACAGATATCTAGATCTAAGTCCGTGGTAGAATAGATCTAACATGACTTCTGGGGTAGAGGTAGGGGTAGGGGGATAGAGACAGATATCTAGATCTAAGTCCGTGGTAGAATAGATCTAACATGACTTCTGGGGTAGGGGTAGGTGTGTAGAGACAGATATCTAGATCTAAGTCCGTGGTAGAATAGATCTAACATGACTTCTGGGGTAGGGGTAGGGGTAGGGGTGTAGAGACAGATATCTAGATCTAAGTCCGTGGTAGAATAGATCTAACATGACTTCTGGGGTAGGGGTAGGGGTGTAGAGACAGTTATCTAGATCTAAGTCCGTGGTAGAATAGATCTAACATGACTTCTGGGGTAGGGGTAGAGGTGTAGAGACAGATATCTAGATCTAAGTCCGTGGTAGAATAGATCTAACATGACTTCTGGGGTAGAGGTAGGGGTAGGGGGATAGAGACAGATATCTAGATCTAAGTCCGTGGTAGAATAGATCTAACATGACTTCTGGGGTAGGGGTAGGTGTGTAGAGACAGATATCTAGATCTAAGTCCGTGGTAGAATAGATCTAACATGACTTCTGGGGTAGGGGTAGAGGTGTAGAGACAGATATCTAGATCTAAGTCCGTGGTAGAATAGATCTAACATGACTTCTGGGGTAGAGGTAGGGGTAGGGGGATAGAGACAGATATCTAGATCTAAGTCCGTGGTAGAATAGATCTAACATGACTTCTGGGGTAGGGGTAGAGGTGTAGAGACAGATATCTAGATCTAAGTCCGTGGTAGAATAGATCTAACATGACTTCTGGGGTAGAGGTAGGGGTAGGGGGATAGAGACAGATATCTAGATCTAAGTCCGTGGTAGAATAGATCTAACATGACTTCTGGGGTAGGGGTAGGTGTGTAGAGACAGATATCTAGATCTAAGTCCGTGGTAGAATAGATCTAACATGACTTCTGGGGTAGGGGTAGGGGTAGGGGTGTAGAGACAGATATCTAGAACTAAGTCCGTGGTAGAATAGATCTAACATGACTTCTGGGGTAGGGGTAGGGGTGTAGAGACAGATATCTAGATCTAAGTCCGTGGTAGAATAGATCTAACATGACTTCTGGGGTAGAGGTAGTGTAGTGGTGTAGAGAGATACAGAGAATTGTGTAGAACGATAGACCCAGTAAGAACACGATATAACAGCAAACACATGAGACAAACTGCACGTTCCAATATTTCACTTATAAATACATCAATTTGTAAAACTTTTATTAACCCTCGTCCAAAATTATTATTTGTAGAAAGTAAAAATAATTAATTGATGAGGCTACATCAGAAAATATTGCTACCAGAAAAACAAGTGCTTTTGTGGATTGTATTAAATGTTACTGGTTGTTAGCCCACGTCTTGGCTTTGATGTGGATTTTTGCGAATCTTTCGCATCAGCGTGAATTGTTGATGACGTCAAGACATTCACCTTTTAAACAAACTTTTAGAACTACATCGCATGACACTAACGGCCAACCGTTACTTTTTTTTTTAAACTTTGATTGATTTTAATCCTTTGCTTTTTATCTATATTAAAGCCCTGTACAAACTAATATTTTCCGTCTGAACAAACTCTTGCATATTGCAGCATAATTGAAAAAGATGTGAAAAGTATTTTTAATTTTTAAGTCACTGGAAGTCATCTTTAAATGTGCTTAATCATCAAAATATATTCTCCTCTTCAAATTTGAATGACTAATTACTTGTAAATATATTAGTATCTGAAAGTTTTAAAGCTCTTGAATATCGATGATAGACGAATATTAAAAAAATCCCCAGAAGTCATGTTAGATTTATTCTACCACGGACTTAGATCTAGAAATCTGTCCCTACACCCCTACCCCTACCCCAGAAGTCATGTTAGATCTATTCTACCACGGACTTAGATCTAGATATCTGTCTCTACACCCCTACCTCTACCCCAGAAGTCATGTTAGATCTATTCTACCACGGACTTAGATCTAGATATCTGTCTCTACACCCCTACCCCTACCCCAGAAGTCATGTTAGATCTATTCTACCACGGACTTAGATCTAGATATCTGTCATTCACATTCGTGGTAGTTATACTTTTTTTTGCAATCCATTGTTGAAAAAATACAGAGAAGTATGTAGAATGACAGATATCTAGATCTAAGTCCGTGGTAGAATAGATCTAACATGACTTCTGGGGTAGGGGTAGGGGTGTAGAATGACAGATATTTAGATCTAAGTCCGTACCTTTTTGCCATTTTAAGTGAAGAACTGTATTCTAACATATAACACACATGCAATAAACATACATTATATCAGTTTAAGTGAACAAAATAGTTAATCCCCCTTTACACAGGAATATAGGACCCCATCCATTTAGATCCCCAGCCTAATATCTACCGACCATACTGACCCGTCTCTCTGATTCTTTACAATTGCCGTACTTTCCTATCACCCCTCCGCCCCTACAGAAAAAAAATCACCATCAAAATTATCCCTCAGCACCAAATCGCTCAAAACACACAGGAAGCCTCCTAACAAGTCTGTTGGAGTAAACACTTTGTAATCGCTCTTATCACTTTCAGACGATCCCAAAACTAATCTCACAGTTCAAACCATAATAATACAATTGTCGGAATGTGACCAGTCACGTGATGTTAATTACAGACGGTATTACATTGCTAAAGCAGACAAATGTAGAAAGAAAATTAACATACGAACACCAAATGTCAGCACGAGCACCTTAACGACAAATAACCATTGGATGGGACTTAAAAGGGTGTCCGACTCGCACGATAAATATCCTTTCGCGGTTTTCACAACGCTGACCCAGAGGTTAGGTCCAAGTTAGCATCAGGTACTATCTATTAGGAAATTTAGATGGATTTTCAATACATATTGTAGATCGTCTAACTTCACATAGAGAATGATCCAATGCATTGTCTCCCTGTCAACGACTGGTGCTCTTCTGCGACATACTTAGAGCTAAAATTAAGGGTCGTTTTCAAAATCATCGCTGTAATGCCGCTCACTCACATCACTTCATATTACATCTTCTCGACTCATTTCCCTTTCTTTTCATTTCCCCATGACAGGCCGTATAGTGGATGTCAACCCCGTAAAATAAATAAATAAATAAATGAAATAATAAATAAAGTCTGAAGTGTGAGACAAAAATCACATGAAGAACCTTAGGTAGCTGGTTTCAGTGACAGAAGTTATCTCCCCATCTCCTTTTATCATATCATTTAAAACACTTGTTAATGATTTATACTAGATCTACTATCTTACAAGTAACTACAAAGGTAATATAACATCTCGGCGCATAGGGATAATGATAAAAAAATTCATCGTTTTGCGCTCATTTCCAAAATTAATTAAATAACAAGATGATCACAAATTAATTTAATATCGTGTAGAATGAGATTCAAAATATGAATGTTTAATGTCAAAAGAACACACCTGGTTATATTCGAATACACAATATTATGCTGGCAGTTTGCAGATTAATCTTTGGCACGTGGACGAAACGCCTAGACGTTCGACCGTTAATCTGATTGGTTGATCTACGAACCTCTCTGTCAATCAATAGTCATTTTCATCGCTTAAATCCAGAGGCCTGAAAAGGGGTAATTTATGCACTAAACGTATTCGATACATTCGGCTAACAACAGGGAAAAACGTTATATGTGTGAAATAACATTTTAGCAATTATTCATTAATTGTTATATTGTGAATCTGTTGCGTTCAAGTGGTTTCTGGACAATGCGATGCACCTATATCTGGTTAGCGGCCATCAAACCGTGAAAGGATGAAAACACTCGCCGTATCACAACCTGAATCAAAGATCAGTCCGCCATTCTACCAGAGAAAAAAGGAGCCATCACAGAATTATTAATATAGTTTCGGGAGATAACAAATGTGAAAAGTTTGATATAAATGAAAAGCTTACATACGATTTGATACCGCCTGGTATTTAAATTTATTGAAAAGCTCCAGATTAAGCATAAAACATCAACAATTGCTCGCTCCTCCGCGGAGGGATATATTGTGTGTTGGTTTAGCGTCAGCGACAAAGGCAAAGGAATATGTCAGCGCTGTTCGGGTGCTACTGAGGATATCAAAGTGGCGAAAAAAGTAGGAATAACTTTTAGGAAGTTAGCCACGAGCATACCGGCTGGCCCGAACGACATTTAGGGATGTTAAATTCGGACGGTTTAGGTGAAGGACAACAAGCATGGGGCGATCGGCGACCAAGGTATGTAGAAATCAAACGGCCGTCGGACCCCTGAATGGTCGCCATTTTGACTGTTGTTCGGGGCCCATTGTCACAAAAAGCTTATCTTGCCAGGCAAGAACTTCTTCCGATTTTTCACGTTCACTCACGTACTGTATATATGTTGTTATTGCTATCCTGAAAATCACTAGTTGTTCACTGGTCGTCTGAAATATGCCCGTATAACCTATTGTCCCGTGCCATTGGAACACGATCCCGTTTCACAATGTGTAGTGCAAGAAAGGTGGACTTTCCTGAAAATGGTTTCCGATGATCATGGGAAGTTTGGAAGGTCCGTGTGAATAGCTCGCCCTTCTCCCTTCGACTGTTGGTGACGAGTGTTGTGTGTAATAAGTGGCGGAGACACAGATGTACACCAACTGTTGCTAGCCAGAAAACGTCCATGATCAAATCGTGGGCCCCAACACATGGTTCATCCATACGGCAGATGTTAATATACTACTACAATCACACAGCTGATAAATCGCAGACATGCAGGACACACGTGTAATTAATACGCCAGCATGTGTAAACAAAACATGTTTACCATAAAACGCATGTAAAAATCTTATCCAACATGTCACATTGCTCCATCTCCAATACACAACCCTAATACACACGTGCTGTTCAATACACAACTCTTAAATATGCACGTGCAATTTGAACAATGACAAATGATATGTTTGATTTTAAACATGATTTTATTTATATATCTATATCCTTGTTACAATAATTGACTATAAATAAATTCTGTGAAGAATAGCAGTTTTAATTTTCGATTTCATCATCAGGATAACGAAATTTGACAAAATACCTACCTTGGTGCTTTAATTCATACAGCATATCACACACTTGTGTGATTTACGAAAAACTTCCCATCATATTTGTGTAAAAACACAAAGTGTGAATTGCATGTTCACATTGTGAAATATTTCTAGGTCCAATGCAACCATGTACACTGCCAAAGATGCACAATGATATCTAATATTGAAAGAATACTCATCCCTAGCAAGGGGTATGTTGCTCAAATTTTGTTACATTGGTAAATCAAACGGTAATATGCTATGTGTAATTCTAGAGGTACATTGTCATTGTCTGTACCAGATGTATTGTAGTGTATGTGTGATGTATATATGGGAGCTTGAACTACATCTGCTCACAGCCGCAAGTCAAGGTCTGTGAATGACAACATTCAAATTCATAGTAATTATAATAATTTTTTATGGTTTTTACAACAACATTTGTCAAATCAAACTTCTGACGCTTTTATTATGAAAAAAATCACAACTGTTGCTGCTGTCTGTTAGAACGGGTTGAAAACATCATATCCAGCTAGCTTGTATTCCTAAATCTCAGTTGTGGAAAGAGATTGACACAAAATTACCTTTAAAATCTTTCGAGGTTTAAAACAAAATAAACAAATCCAGTATTCTTTTTGACAAATGCATGGCTAGAAGTTGTTAAGAATTAAGTTATAAAAAGTTGAAATATGGAAAATGGCTCTTAAAGTTTTGAATTTAATTAGATTTTAATTTTTAATAATTTCCCCACATTAACAGCTGAGAGAAACTCTTTAAAATCAACCACTTTTTTGATATAAATAACAGTTTGGTGCCAATATTCAGGTTGTACTTTCTTCAGTAATTTTTATTTGATAAATATTGAATAAATGTATTTTAAACAAGAAACAAAAGAAAGAAAACAGACAACAAGATTCCCAGAGTCGTTTTTATATCTGCCATCACCGTGTGGCTGGTAATAAGCCCACTTGTGATAGGTTTTGCTCCTCACTAGCTTTTAAAATAAATTATATTTTATGGTCCTGCATTAAACACCCAGTGTGGGCCCCTTGGCTAAATACAGGATAATAACACAATTTATGAAATTGTATGGACATTGGGCAACAATTGTACCCTGATATTGAGGAGAGATATATAGAGAAATTATTAAAAATAATGCCTAAAATGACTGTTTGATTTTATTGAAGGAAGAAAGTTTGACTGGGTATGTTGTAGAACAGTTTGACAATGTGAAGATGAATGATACTTTAGATTTTAATATTTTAAGGTTACTGTGACACCTTGCAAAGTACTTGTGTATGTGGCGGTCATTTGACTGGAAATCTTGAGTGTGGATTACAGGTAAAACAAATGTGTATTTTCAGAAATGAGATGCCACCGTATTTCAGAACTCCTGCACCCAGTATGCATTCTCGAGGCCCTGGCCTCATGCCCGGCCACCCTATGCCGTATCGTGGCCACATGGGTCTCCATCCACAGACCTCGCAGCATGTGCCCGCAAACGTAACGGTCAGTATCCAGTGATGCAATATTAAGTTGTGTGTTACTTTCCCATTGCAGGTTCGCGTCCGGAAACGCTCGATTCGCTCACGCAGACAAGGAACTTAATGACTTACTTGATTTCAGTGCGGTGAGTTTGTCGTTTCTATGGTCACCGGTACCTGTTTCCATGGTTACCGGTACTGTTGCCATGGACATTTTTTAGACACCTGTCCATGTTTGTATCCCAATTTTGTTTGCTTGCTTCACCTTTTTTGGTTGCATTATTAAAATTTATTTTCCCTTTTCAGTTTTGTTTAGTTTTGCCTGTTATGTAAATTGCTGCAAGTTCATCCTGATCATTATTTTAAGTTTCATTTTCTATTTGTTGTCTCTCATTATATATTTATAATTTATGTTGATGTTGTCTGCATGGCATTTGTTGTTGTGTCCTCTGTGCATGTGCTTTTCATTTATTTCCTCCATCCTCTGCTCCAACCATTATGTGGTACACTCCATCTTCTATCTGGAAAGAGTTATCTCCCTTGAACATGCATGATTTGAAGCTGGTGTACCTTCTTCCTGTTTGCGCATGTGAATGTGTAACTTAATTCACAGGCTTTGATTGATAACGTGTTATTTGAAAGACGAGACAAGATCATAAATTTCATGGGTATGATGTCAGATCATTTAAATTTCTTTAACTGGTCGCCATCTGTGTTCTGTCTTCATTCATTTTATAAACACTAATATATATTGTATTTATTCATAAAATTATCATTTATCATAATACAATTACTAGTGTCATGTTTAGAAATATAGATGTAATGCATCACTGTTGTATTCTTTTGTCTCGATGTATATATACATGACGTACATTACTGTCATTTTCATCTTCTATGTCATAACTCAGTATCTATGAATTGCAAAGTTGATGTATCTTGTTTTCAGAAATTAATTCAAATTACAGAGTTGAGCCATTTGTCTTTAAGAATCGAGTACGCTAAATGAATCAAATTTTGATTTTATGACTGTGCTTTAGTTTGAGGAAGTAAGGGTTTGTGTGCACAGGTGTTCAGTTGCGAATCAACCAGGGGGGGGGCCATGAAAGTGTGTGTGGGGACAGTTATTTAATTTTATGAAATTTATTGGAGATTTGCTATCTGCTGCAAGTTTTGATATGGTCCCTGTAAAATTGTGCCTTTTTACACAGTCCCTGCATACATTTGTTACAGATCATCCATATTGGTCTACAAGCTGTTGCACAAGTGCCACATGATACCATGTTTGTATTTCTGTAAAATCTATTGATTTTCTATAAAGTTTGTCATTTTTCGTCCTGATAAGTTTTACTCTGATCAATATTGAAGGATCCTGTACCTTTTTACGACGTTGTTTAGATACCTGTGACGACATTATGTCCCAATATAAAGCCACATCCACTTTGTTCCATCACAGTCACAAGGTTTATTTTGAAAAGGATAAAAGTATATTGTAAAGCCTTATTGGGAAATTCGTAAAATTAAGTGCCCTATTGGGAAACTTGAAAAAGTTTTCTGCCAGTAAATTGAATACAGCTAATTTACTGAAGTAGCATGTTTTTATGAAAGAATCTTCCAACATAGTATGGTACTTATAAACACAAAAATCATAACACTTCATGTGTGGGAGTAAACAAAAGGTGTGTCTAATCACATATTGTTGTCCGACAAGGGCAGATAACTTCTAATACCATCAGATTATATCGCCTTGTATAATTAACTTGTCTTGCCTGATTAAACACAACACAATGGTAAGGTTGAGAGTAAGCTGCCCTGGGGTCATGTTCACACCTTTGTAGGCGATTGTCACACCACAGTGATAAGGGATTAGTCGGGGATTAGCAGAGCGTTTTATCCTCTAACGTGAAGGAATGTCCGAACGTGGGTGGATGTTTTCAGCAGTGTGTAACAAAAATGTGAAAATACATCTCAAAAACAGGATAAAATATGATATTATAGAGACACTGGTTGACATGCCAATGACAGTAAAATATATCCTGTAATAATAGAAGTGGTGTCTCTATGTAGTTTGATTCAGCATGACATTGTTAGTTTGATGTCGGTGACCATGCACAGAAATCTGAGGTATTGCAACAGGTTGCTTCATTTGTTAAAAAAAGTATTTTGCATTATTAAGAAAGTATTTGTCAAAATTTTGTATTTTTTTTTATACTGAAATGTCTTTTAATTAATTTTCTTTTAATTTTAATTAATTTGCTTTTGTTTCTGAAAGTTTTTAAGCTTGATTTAATCAGTAGAAATCTATATAGTTGAATGTCTCACATGATAAAGATTTTCAAGAAATTTGTGGTTTTTTTTTTTTTTTTTTAAATATTTTACCATAAAAATAAAGCATTTGAATGATAAGATTTTTGGCGATCAATTAAAATTTCTTGTAATTAGTTAGGATGTAAGTACAAGTCTTTCAGGAAGCTAGATTAATTGACTATTTCTTGATATTTGTTAAAAATATTAAGATGTGGTTACTCTGGTACCTGAACTTACTTCAAAATACACATTACAGGTTATTTTCCTTAAATTTCACCTTTGTTTCTTTTAATCAAGCAGAATTGTAAGAGGTAATTGGTGGTAAATGTGGATGATTGTCTACTTAGATTTGGCAGTGTCACTCGCTGTACAGTTATGTTTTGATTGATCATGGTCGTCTGTTTTTATACAGTAGTCAGAGGTTAATTGATTGTGTAGGAAGACAAGGGACTTGCAGGATTTATTAAGGTTTTATAGCCGTTTCCTGATAAGTAATAAATCAGTAGAGGTACAACAGGGGAGAGGTGCAAAGACTGTAGAGCATGATTGGGGATCACTAGAGGTACAACAGGGGTGAGGTACATAGACTGGGGGCCACGATTGGGGATCACTAGAGGTACTACAGGGGAGGAGTACATAGACTGTGGGGCACGGGTAGGGGATCACTAGAGGTACTACAGGGAAGAGGTGCATAGACTGGGGGGCTTGGGTAAAGGGTCATAAGAGGTACTACAGGGGAGAGGTACATAGACTGGGAGGGCACGGGTAGGGGATCATTAGAGGTACTACAGGGGAAAGGTACATAGACTTTGGGGCACAGGTAGGGGATCACTAGAGGTACTACAGGGGAGAGGTACATAGACTGGGAGGGCACGGGTAGGGGATCACTAGAGGTACTACAGGGGAAAAATACATAGACTTTGGGGCACAGGTAAGGAATCACTAGAGGTACTACAGGGGAGAGGTACATAGATTGGGGGGCAGAGGACAGAGGATCACTAGAGTTATTACAGGGGAAAGGTACATAGACTGGGGGACAAGGTTGGGGATCACTATGGGTACTACAAAGGAGAGGTGCATAGACTGGGGGGCTTGGGTAGGGAATCATTAGAGGTACTACAGTGGAGAGGTACATAGACTGGGGGGGGGGGGGGGCTTGGGTAGGGAATCACTAGAGGTACTACAGGGGAGAGATACATAGCCTGGGGCGGGGGGGCTTGGGTAAAGGGTCATAAGAGGTACTACAGGGGAGAGGTGCATAGACTTGGGGAGGCAGGTGTTAGGCAATCACTCAAGGTTTTAGTGGGAGAGAGGTACATGGACTTTGGGATGGAGGAAGTTTAGGGTATCACTCGAGGTACTTGGGAGATGTTATGGGGCGGGGAGGGTTAGGGTATCACTTGAGGTACATGGGAGAGAGGTACTTGGAACTGCAGGATGTTTTAGAAAACGACCATTTTAGGCTCAGCTTCTGATCGTAGATTTACTTTGTTATCATTTACAAAGTCTGAGTTTTCAAAATAAATGAATATATGTAATGAAAATTTTGGTTTGATTAAAATTAATCAACTTGATTGACTGAAAATGATCGTCATTTAATGTAAACCTATTGTAAGAATGAAAATAAATGTCAAAAATTTACTTGCCAAGTCTTATCACTTTATCACAGAAAGAACTTCATATACTTACGAATATTGCCATCATTTTGAAATATTTCTAATAATCTATCATGTTAACAGCATTTTGAGGAAAAAACTTCATTGACAGGTTAACTACTTGGTATATTATATTTTATGTTAAAGATTATAAATGTTTTGTTGTATGCAGATGTTTTCACCGCCGGTCTCCAAGAATGGTCCTCCTGTAGGCCCCTCGGGGACAGGGCCTGCAAGTAACATGGAATTTGGGGGCTACAAATCGAGTAACCGTAAGTAATCTTTCTTCTTCTGCTTGTCAGGAAGGGTAAAATTGTAAAAAAAATTTGTCTTGAGGGAACATCTCTATATAGTAGTACTTGGGAAGCCTTTTGCCTTGTACCTGTGTAAAAGAGGCATTTGTAAATGAAGTACCTGTCTTAAGGGACCAGCTGAAATGTACCCATCATAAGACCTGCTGTAAGTGTAGTACCTGTCTTGAGAGACCAGCTGAAATGACATGTCATGAGACCTGTTAGTGTAGGACCTGTCTTAAGGGACCAGCTGAAATGTACTTGTCATGAGACCTCCTGTAAGTGTAGTACCTGTCTTGAGAGACCAGCTGAAATGTACTTGTCATGAGATCATTCTCTGGAGGGACCAGTAGTACATACAGATGCTATAATTGATTGACCATGCACACAGCACCTGTTTTGAAGGACCAGCCATTAATACACCACATGTCCTGACGAACCAGCAATGAATGCATTACCTGTTTAAAGGGGCCAGCAGTACTGGACGTTTCATGAGGAACAAGCAGTGAAGGGGACAGTCTTGGTCACATGACCATCAAGGCAGTGCCTCTGGAAGAACAAGTCGTATAAATGCACTACCTTTCCTTGCAATGCAATAAGCTTTTTACAAACCACTGAGCAGAATCATTGGTGTGTGACATTCAAAAATGTTTCTTACAACATTTCCACAACTAAATAAGTTTCACATGGAGAGCAATTTTGAATTTTCAGTTGAAAGAAAAGATTATATGTAATAAATTTGAGAATTGGGCTAAATTTTGAAGTGTAAATGTAGATTCTGAGTAATCTTATCAGTTGTTAGACAGGAGGATATTTCATGATTGGGGAAAGCAAGAAGCTTGAAACTCCAATTTATTACCTATCACTTCGTCCTTCTTTTTCGTAAAAAAGTGGAGCTTTATTTTTACAAACAGAATCGTAATTGTGTTCTTAGGTTTGTAAATTCCATTGTAGTTAAATCCTGGAAGGATGTTTGTGAAACGTGAAAACTAAGTATTAAGTTGATTATGCTTGTTGACATGACAAAAGTTAGGGGTAAACAGTGTCCCTCTCTTGGGGCCCCCCCACCAAGTGTGTCACACAGGTGTTTGAAGGAATGCTGAATAGACCTGCATGTTTGGTGAAGCATGTACTGACTGTTCATGTTCAGCCAGGTGCACTTGGTGTCCCCCTTTTGCAAAAAGGGGGCTCACCAAGGGGGAACCGTACTAAGGTCTATCTCTGTCACCACAGAAACAACAGAAGTCATTGATGACAAATTCATGCCTTACAGTCTTATCTCATTGGTTACCAAAAAAAAATAAGAATATATTGTGTTGTTTTGTTTTGGTAAAGCTCAATTAATTTGATACAAAATGCCAGTGAAATGCAAGCAGTCTCTACAAACTTTCTGTCTGGAGGGCCTTGGATTTAAAAAAAAAGTCACTTTGAATCCTAAATTGCTTGCTACATAAACCTGCAGCACAGTAGGGAAAATTTACCTCATTATTCCACCAAGTAGCTACAGTTAGAACAGACTTTACACAGTGATAAAGCTGTGTTTAATCAGAGTGAATATTGTACAAAAGAAAAGGTCTGTCGCTATAAACTAGCCCTATTAGTGGCATTTTATCATTTGAAAAATCTTATTTTCTACGGATCAGCATTTCAAAAGTTTCTTCGTCGTCATATTAAACAATGCAGTTATCAAATTTGAGTGTTTTTTATGAATCACATTCACACTCTCTGATCAGTTCTGTGATGAACCATTGACCTTCAGTCAAATATGTAGGTATATAAGTCCTGTAGATGCAAGTTTAGGACAAGGCTTTGACAAGGTCACATAGTTGCTTTTGTTGGAATTATTAAATTTTTTGAAAATTTTAAAACTTTCCAAGTCTCATTTCTATCAATATCAGGCAGAAAACTTCTTGAGAAATCTTCCTTCTGTGAAATAAGACTGGGGTCTTACAAAGTCAGTATTTTTTTTTGCATTATCTCCCCTTTTCCCCTTCTCCTCTTTCTCATCTCCCTTGTGTCTTTCTCCTTTTAGTTCTCTCTATTTGTGGAACTAAAATGTAAAAGTTTAAGTGATATGTTGAAGACACCCATAGGCCACCTGGCTAAGTGTTATTACTTAGGAAAAGGGGCTCCAATTGGGGAGTCCTGCATGTGTATTGTTTTAATTCTTTAACTGTTACTTAATCAATTTTATTTCAAAATACATGGTATGACACCTGTCCCAAAATAAATCATTCAGATAGTGTAAACAATGTGAGTACACTTGATATAAAACTCTATTTTAAGTTTATGAGACTGCTCGGGTCAGCAGGATCTGACATTTAAAATGTCGTGACAGTATCGCTTGTGATAGGTGCAGGTTTGAGTCTTGTACAAAACTTATGTTGGGTCTATAATAAATTAGTTTTAAAGTGATATTGTCAATTTTGTGCCCATGATTTGTAAAAGGTACACAGATAAATTTGTAAAAGGTACACAGATAAATTTGTGAAAGGTACACAGATAAATTTGTAAAAGGTACACAGATAAATTTGTTACCTGCCAGGTTTAAAATGCTCTCAAGGTTAACCTCATTTTTCCAACATCACCACTACCAAAAGATTTTCAACCCAGTTCAACTTTCACCCTCTACTAGCAAGGAGGACAAATTTAAAATTATTGTGATATACAAATTTATGTATAATGGTACGAGGGTGAAAATATTGTGGTTTACAGAAGTTGGACATCAGTCTGCTAGTTATACAAATCAAATGCAGTATACCTTACTACAAACAAACTGGGATAGTAACAAGGTTTTTTGTTAGAAAATGACGAGGGTCCAATTGAATGGATTTGGAAACTATTATACATGTTTACAATGGGGCCTATTGTTATTTTTTTCATAGGTAAGACAGTTGTATGGTCTTCCCTATGTATCAGTAAAGTTCCTTTTTTGTCAAGTAGTTTCTATTGCTTAACATCTGTTAGACCCTATTTTCTGGATTGGTAACTTTCCACACAATTCTTTGTCAGATTGCTTATTTACATTAAGGGCCTACAACAGTTGTGTGGTTGGACGCTTCCTACCTGTGACAGTTTGTGTTTCTCAAGGAGCTGAGTAATGGATCAGTCTGTGCTGACCTTTATAGATGTGGATACATGTGATGGGCCACCCGTATGTTGTTCAATGAGGTAGATACGAGCCTCCTACAAGGAGACCCTACCTGAAAATGACCTTTGCTGTTCACACAGAAACCAAGCTTTCAAGCAAACAAGCTTCTGTACAGATATGAGGCCTGCTTCTGTTGACCAGTTCTGTCTGTTGTTCTGTATAGGGCCTTCATCTGCTGACCAACCCTGTGCATTTTTGAAATCCTGTGTTCTGTATGTGTGTTGTGCCTGCATCTATGAACAATTTTTTGATATCTGATGTCCAATGTTCTGGGTAGATTTACAGCCTGTATTTCTCCATACATGTTGTGCCAGCATCTATCAACAATTTTTTGATATCTGAAGACCAATGGGTAGATTTAGAGCCTGTATTTCTCCATACATGTTGTGCCAGCATCTATCAACAATTTTTTGATATCTGAAGACCAATGGGTAGATTTAGAGCCTGTATTTCTCCGTACATGTTGTGCCTGCATCTATCAACAATTTTTTGATATCTGAAGTCCAATGTTCTGGGTAGATTTATAGCCTGTATTTCTCCATACAATCTGCCTGGCAGCTAGTCAATAATTTTGTATTTATAAATATGCGGCACTCCACAAACTTAAGTGTTGTATGGTAGAGATTTGGTTTTCTACAAACACAATACCTGTCTTGCATCTCTTCACTAATTCTACATCTGTCTCATATCTCTCCACTTACTCTACACATATCTTATCTCTCCACTAACTCTCTCTCCTCTAACTCTACACCTTGCATCTCTCCACTAACTCTACACCTGTCTAAAATCTCTCCACTAGCTTAACACCTGTCTTACATCTCCACTAATTTTACATCTGTCTCGTATCTCTCCACTTATTCTACACCTGTCTGACATCTCTCCACTGATTTTACACCTGTCTTACATCTCTTCACAAACTTTACACCTGTCTTACATCTCTCCACTAACTTAACAACTGTCTTACATCTCTCCACTTACTCTACACCTGTCTTACATCTCTTCACAAACTTTACACCTGTCTTACATCTTTCCACTAACTTAACAACTGTCTTACATCTCTCCACTTACTATACACCTGTCTTAATCTGTCCACTAACTTTACACCTGTCAGCATTTTTCCACAAACTTTACACCTGTCTTAATCTGTCCACTAACTTTACACCTGTCTGCATCTTTCCACTAACTTTACACCTGTCTTAATCTGTCCACTAACTTTACATCTGCCTTACTACTCTCCACTAATACAACACCTGTTGTGACTCTGTTTTGTGCAGATGTGGGGCCTATATCTCTACCAAATTACACCTGTCTTTTACAGGTTTCTGCCAACTAAATGTCTGCAAGGCCCTGTGCTCTGTACATATGTAAGGCTTAAATCTCTCCAGAAAGTCTACATCTGCGTCTCCTGGCATCTGTGTATACATACATACCCCAGTATCCCACATCTCCTGTATACAGATGTCTTTTGCATCTGTGTGTTACTCCCCCTCCCTGTGTTGGCCTATATTGCACATGCTGAAGTAACACCTCATTGCTATAAATACACACACTTCCAGCAGTGCCAGGCAATTCTGTACACCTCCAGAATCCTGTCCTATGTTGGTTTAGTGTTGGGGAAGTCAGGGTTTGTCTGCCATGGGGTCGTATTTACTGTTTAACTAAAGGCTACAAAAAGCTGTTCCATCCAGAACCTCATTTGGTCTGACTTTCCCTTGTTTTGTTTGGACTCAAGAGTTCCTATAGTTGATGTTGGTCTTTCTTGGTTCTTGAAATGGCTCCATATTGGTAATGTCTAATACCTATGGTTCTTGTGTAGGTCTGCCCACCT